AGGCGTCCTCTTACGACTCCCGCTCAGAGCCCCTTATAGTGGGAACAGAGGACGCAGAGCCAGGAGTGGCATGAGTGCCAGGTGGATCTGGAGCTGTCGGTAGGTAGCTGAAGACCCAGGAGATCCAGATGCAGGCCAGGTGCGGATGCAGGAACGTAGGTGCAGCAGCAGGCAGGTATGGCGGCAATCAGGATGCAGACTGGGACTGGACACCGGAGCGTGGATGGGGTAGCAGGCAGGTATGGTAGTGACCAGGATGCAGGCCAGGTGCAGGACTGTGGGTGCAACGGCAGGTAAGTATAGCAAACGTCAGGATGCAAGCCAGATGCAGGACCATGGGTGCAGCGGCAGGTAAGTATGGCATCTGTCAGGATGCAAGCCAGATGCAGGACCGTGGGTGCAGCGGCAGGTAAGTATGGCAGCTGTCAGGATGCAAGCCAGGTGCAGGTAAGTAGATGCAGCAGAGTCAGACAAGCCGGGTCAGTATTCAGCGGGCAGATCAAGTACAAGGGAGCAGGCAAGTGGGTGGTCAGGGATAGCCGAGGTCGGTGCAGGCGGAGTTCTTTCTTAGTCAGGTCAGATCAGAATACAAGCAACAGGATCAGGTAATAAGTGCAGGAACGTTGTAGACATTGATTTTACTGTATTGCAGGTTTAAATAGCCCGCGTAGCAGTGATGTGGACTCTACTGCGCATGCGCGCACTTTCTGCGCATGTGCTCCCGCGCATACGCACCACCGTGACCCGAAGGGATCTGTCACCATTGCACGGCTGCACAGCGACAGGGTCCCTGACAATATGTTTAAAAGACATATTGAATAAGGGGAAATTGAACACTTTTAATTTTGAATTAAAGGAAAAAAAAGATTTATTTTTCACATTAGACGAGTTTGGTCAATTAGGTCACTTTGTTTCAACACTCCCACAACCATTGAGGATTTCAGAGGATCAGTACCCATTTGAAAAACGATTGAACGTAACTATAGCCCCTAAACAGGGCACTTCTAGGATTTATAAGATTCTTATGGATATGGAGGGTGCTGATCCCCCCCCAGTTCTTGGAAAAAACGGGAGTGGGAGTTGGGATCAAAGTTAAACGAGCAACAGAGGAATAGTATATTTAAATTAGCACATGAGGTAACAAATATGAGCACGGTTGAAATGAACTATAAATGCATGGTTAGATGGTATATTACACCAAATAAAGCACATAAACAAGTAGATGTTTCACCTTTATGTTGGAGAGGATGTGGGGAAAAGGGTACGATGGCACACTTATGGTGGGAATGCCGAAAATACAGGATTACTGGGAGGGAATATTACAATATATCCAAGAAATATGTGGGATTACTGTACAGAGAGATTCGTGCACTTGTTTATTTGATAAATTTGAACCTTTGGTAAAACTACACAAGAAGAAGGTATTATACAATGTAGTTAGCGCGGCTAAGGGCTTGATTCCCAAATTTTGGCTTGCCCCAGACCCACCAAGTATGAATGATTGGGTAAATAGAGTAGAAAACATCTATAAGATGGAGGAGTTGTTTCATATTGAGGAGGATAAAACAGAAAAATTTAGAAAAACGTGGAGTGGTTGGTTTTTAAAACATCTAAAAGATACCTGGAAATGGTTGAAATATAGATGGATGAGCATTGGGGGGAACTTTAATGGAGCACCCGACAGAGAGAAGGAGATAGGAGGAAAGGAATACATATATGAACAGATAATAATGAGAAAGGTTAGAAACTAGGATTGTGGTATGGACTAGGGATTTGAGGGGGGGAGGGAAGAGGGGGTTTGGGGATAATATGTTATGATGCAATTGGGATGTATATTTTTAAATGAAAAATAATTAATAAAAGATATAATGAAAAAAAAGAGAAGAAGATGGACTTCTGTTCAACCACAGTGGATCAAAATTCAATCTAATTTCAACCTATGTATGGCCAAGCTGTAGCGCCTCTGAAAGCTGAAACTTCTCGCACGAAAAAGCTGCTTAGAAAAAAAAAAATGTGGTATAAGTCATGTATTGCACATGTGTTTAGGCACGCCTAGCATATGAGCTTTATTGCATTCTATTCACCAGAATATTAATTTATTCTGGCCATTTGTTCGAATACATTGTTCATGTATTTGTTCGAATACATTGTTCATGTATTGTGTGCAACAACTACATCAACCAGCAGATGCCAGTGTTTATAAGATTTAGCTGCATCTATGACAATACTCTATGTCTTCTTCCTGAATAAAGTTCCTGTTTCCTGTTAGAGAAGCAGCAGATAAACACTTGTGGAGTTTGCAAACTTGACAAACCAAAACAGGGGTGTCAAACTGGTGGCCCTCCAGCTGCTGCAAATCTACAAGTCCCATCATGCTTGTAACTGTCAGCCTTGCAATGAATCATGGGACTTTAAATTTGGCAACAGCTGGGGGGCCACCAGTTTGACACCCCTGAACCAGAACTACCAGTCTTGGAAATTCAATATGAAAATGCTGCTAATAAGAGAAGGCACATGGAAATATAAATGAAGTCAGGCCAGAACACCCTTCGTGGATAGAGAAAGACCAGTCAGCTCAGAGTACAATCTCTCTTAGCATAGAAGATGATCAAATCATACATATATGTGTGAAACTGCTAAAGAAATGTGGGAAGAGGTGCATTAGCAGAGCTCATCTGAGCAATAAACTGTATTTAATTAGAAAGTTATACCAAACCAAGCTGATGAAAGGCCAGGATATGCAGGATTATATAAAACACACCCTGGAAATGTTTGAATGCCTGAGAGATACAGGAGAAGAAATAACAGGTTTCATGTTGCAGCACTATTACTTAGTGGTGTACCAGAAAGCTAAGAAATGCTTGTCAAGCACTTATTGCACGTACAGATGATGAATCGACATTATAATATGTTAAAGGCAAACTTGTGGATGAATATAAGTGTAAAAAATAAAGCATTAATAGTGACAGTGCCTCTGTCACAGAGTCTGCTTTAAAGATGAAAAAGAAATAAAATCAGTAACATTCAACAAGAAACACATGAAAGAAACAAGGTCATTTAAACGCAGATTGCAGAATCAGGAAAGTTAGAATGCAAACACAAACTAAAATACTACAAAAGGCCAAAAGTGTGAAGAAAGAAATTGATTTTTCTTCAGATAATGAATATATTTTTCAATACAAAAGACATACCTCATCTTTGCAGGCATGCTGTGTTGATTCAGGAGCTATGAGTCACATGATAACATTACAGCAATGTCTTTATTCACCATAACCAGAGTAAAACAGAAAAAAATCACCACAGCTAATGGGCAAGTTATGGAATCAGAAGGAATAGGAGACTGTTTTCTTTACTGTCCCATTTCCCAGAGTATCACCAGAAAGACACCTGTGAATAATGTCCTGTATGTCCCTGCTCTTGAAACTAATCTTTTTCAGTGAAAAAGCTCACAAACAAGGCAATGTAGTGACCTTCTAAGATGACAGTTGTGCAACCACAAAAGGGGACATCTTACTTGCAATGGCTAAATTTACAGATGAACTGTATCAGCTGAACTGCAATTAGGTGGTTAATACTGCCAAGGAGGAAAAACATTCAAATTGCATTTACACATGGGCACAGAAGTCCTGACATAATAAAGAAATTAGCTGAGAATAACTATGCAAGGGGCATAAAAAAATAGTCCATGTAATCAAACAATGAAATACACCAGCTGTATAAAAAGGAAAAATGACAAGAAAAGCCTTTCCAAAGCAAAATGAACAGCAGAGCTTAAAAAAAAAAAAAAAACCCCACACACACACACCTCTGGACTTAATTCATTCAGATATTTGTGGTTCAATGGAACAATTGACTCCAGGAAAGAAGAGATATTTTCTCATCTTTATAGATGATTACTCCAGGTATACTATACTATACTATACTATACTATACTATATCTGTTACACAATAGAAATGAAGTACCATAGAAACTTGAACAGTATGTGGCTCAAGTAAGCAAAACATTTGGCAAAATGTCAAGCGTATTGCGCACAGACAATGGAACTAAATATACAGATGACAACACACAGGTGATTCTCAGAAAGCATGGCATACTGTTTCAAACTACTGTACCATGCAACCCAGAACAAAACGGGGTTGCAGAAATAATGAACTGTACTCTGTGTGGGAGTGCAAGAACCATGCTGTTTGATGGAGATATGCCAACCACATAATGGGGGGGGAGGCAAATATGACCGCATGCTATCTCCAAAATTGACTACCAATCAACTGAGAAAACTCCATATGAACCGTGGAATGGAAAAGCCCCAAATTTGAACCATCTAAAATTTCTGGAAGTAAAGCCTATGTGGACATCCTAAAAGAAAAACATACAAAATGTGAAGCTAGCGCAAAAGGAAGGTGTTTTTGTGGGGTACAGTGAATCTCAAAAAAGGATACAGAATAATATACCAAGATACAAACAAGGTAACCATCATTAGAAGTGTAAGTGATGATGACACTTTAGTGTGTTCAAAATGATATAAAACACAAACGCTTCAAACTGAGGGAAATTCCACATCAGTGTCACAAGATGATAGGCAACAAAGTGACACAGAAATAAAAATTAATACAATCAATCCAAGTACTGTACAAGAAGAAACCAGGCCGCAAGAGGCTTCAATCAGGAAATACACCAGAAGCAATAAAGACATCACAGTCAAATTGTCTGTTCTATGTTGCTTGTGCAGCATTAAAACAGGAGCCAGGTTAACCAGTTGCCGACCGCAGATAGCCAAATGGCGGCTACACTGCGGCCGGCCAGTTCTGGGAGAGGGCGTCATATGACGTCCTCCCAGAAGGCGCTCTCCTGCACGCCCCCGGGGGCGCGCACCCAGCGATCTCCGTGATCGCTGTGTCCTACGGACACAGCTGATCACAGGATGTGGTAAAAGGCCAATCACAGCGGCCTTTAACCACATGATCAGCCGTGTCCAATGACACGCTGATCACAGCGAAATGCAATTGCCGGTTCTCGGCTGCACTTTCCTCACGCTGTCAGATCGTGAGGGAAGTACTGCCGAGAACCAGCAGTTGTTAGAGCAGGGATCGGCACCGATCATCAGGGCACTGATGATCAGTGCCCTGATGATCGGTGCCCAGCAGTGCCACCCACCAGTTCTGCCCACCTGTGCCCAGCAGTGCATCCACCTGTGCCCAGCAGTGCCACCCAGCAGTGCTACACACCTGTGCCCAGCAGTGCCCACCAGTGCCACCCAGAAGTGCCACCTACCTGTGCCCAGCAGTGCCACCCACCTGTGCCCACCCACCTGTGCCCACCAGTACCACCCACCTGTGCCCACCAGTGCCCCCACCAGTGCCCAGCAGTGCTGCCAGTCAGTGCCACCAGTCAGTGACCAGCAGTTGTGCCAGTCAGTGCCTAACAGTGCCACCAGTCAATGCCCAGCAGTGATTCCAGTCAGTGCTGTCTATCAGTACCCATCATCAGTGCCACCTATCAGTGCCGCCTATCCGTGCCACCTCATTAGTGCTGCCTATCAGTGTCGCCTATCAGTGCCCTTCAGAGCTGCCTATCAGTACCCCTCAGTGCTGCCTATCAGTGCTGCCTATCAGTGCCCATCAGTGCTGCCTATCAGTGCCCATCAGTGCTGCCTCATCAACGCACATCAGTGAAGGAGAAAGAGTGCAAAAATTATGAGTGCAGCGCTAATTAGTATCTAATAGAACCGTAATACAATATATACTCAATCCCCAAAAAAATCCAATATACTCAATACATATACAGTGTCATGCATGTATTCCCTCATGGGGAATATCTCGTGCAAAAACGTGAAAAAGAAGTAATATATACTATAATAACATATATACTAATAATAAACAGTGCCACACAAAAAGTGCACAAAGGAATGAACGATAGTTCAAATACGAGAAAAGTCCAAAGTTAATAATAATAATACTGATGATGCTGTGCTTAATGATGAACTTCACACTCCACTCTTCATGCAAAATTATGTGCAGTGTACGTGATTCACACGTGACAATCCTTAACAGCCAAAATGCCCCCTCACCTCCTTCCTTAGACCCCAAGGGGCCAGCACGCTTTCAGGATCACACGATCCTATCAGTATGGATCACTCTCTAGAAAATATCTTCCTCCTCCAGCGTCCACCAGTTTAGCAGCCAGCTCCTCCCAGGGTCATAGTAAGACACAAGCAGAGACCCTCCATAGTGCAACCAGTAATTTTATAGGTAATAGGTGTTCCAATATGGCCCCCACGCCGGAAATGACGTCACCGCGATTACCGAAGCTCCTCCCCACGTACCGACTAGTTGCACCACGCCCACTTCGTGACTTCATCAGGGTAACAAGAAGAAACCAGGCCGCAAGAGGCTTCAATCAGGAAATACACCAGAAGCAATAAAGACATCACAGTCAAATTGTCTGTGTAACCCTGATGAAGTCACGAAGTGGGCGTGACGCAACTAGTCGGTACATGGGGAGGAGCTTCCGGTAATCGCGGTGACGTCATTTCCGGCGTGGGGGGGGCCATATTGGAACACCCTGTGTATTACCCATGCAGTACACCCATAGCATGTGGTAGGAGGCTGGAAGATTCATCGTTTTGTGAGTGGAAATCTACTTTTTATACCTATTACCAATAAAATTACTGGTTGCACTATGGAGGGTCTCTGCTTGTGTCTTACTATGACCCTGGGAGGAGCTGGCTGCTAAACTGGTGGACGCTGGAGGAGGAAGATATTTTCTAGAGAGTGATCCATACTGATAGGATCGTGTGTGATCCTGAAAGCGTGCTGGCCCCTTGGGGTCTAAGGAAGGAGGTGAGGGGGCATTTTGGCTGTTAAGGATTGTCACGTGTGAATCACGTACACTGCACATAATTTTGCATGAAGAGTGGAGTGTGAAGTTCATCATTAAGCACAGCATCATCAGTATTATTATTATTAACTTTGGACTTTTCTCGTATTTGAACTATCGTTTATTCCTTTGTGCACTTTTTGTGTGGCACTGTTTATTATTAGTATATATGTTATTATAGTATATATTACTTCTTTTTCACGTTTTTGCACGAGATATTCCCCATGAGGGAATACATGCATGACACTGTATATGTATTGAGTACATTGGATTTTTTTGGGGATTGAGTATATATTGTATTACGGTTCTATTAGATACTAATTAGCGCTGCACTTATAATTTATGCACTGTTTATTCACTTATTTTGGGTATAAGTTTAGTGTCAGCAGCTTATGGTTATAGGGTAGGAGTCCTTGTGAGCGCAGGAGGTTTTTTGTAATTATATCTTAGTGAAGGAGAAAGATTACCTGTTTGCAAAATTTTATAATAGAAACAAAGAAACTTTTTTTTTCAAATTTTTTTGCACTTTTTTTTGTTTATAGCGCAAAAAGTTAAACACCCAGCGGTGATTAAATACCACCAAAAGAAAGCTCTATTTGTGAGAAAAATATGATATACATTTCATATGGGTACAATCTTGCATAACTGCGCAATTGTCAATCAAAATGTGACAGCGCTGAAAGCTGAAAATTGCCCTGGTAAAGAAGGGGGTATAAGTGATCGGTAGGCAAGTGGTTAATGGGATGAGCTGCAAAGACTTCCAACCCAAGAGAAACAAAAGTGGACCAGAACTGAGATCCGAAAAGAGACTAATATAAGGAGGAGGAGTTGAATGGGGGTGTTGCAATACATTGTTCATGTATTTTGCAACAATTACTTCAGTGTTCAGTAGAGATATATTCTTCAACCAGTAAATGGAAGTGTTTATAACTTGTAGCTGCATCTATAATTAAACTCTAGGTCTCTTCTCTATAATAAAATTCAGTTTCTGGTTAGCAGAAAAGCAGCAGATAAACACATGTGGACTGTGCCCTGTCTGTTCTGTAGGGCTATATATACAGACTCTCTAACAGTTCAGTACATGTTGCTTTAACCATTAGCCGCCCGGCCAATGGCCGTTTGGCGGCTTGAAATGCGCTCCTAAATTCCGGGTGCACGCCATTTGGCGTGCTCCCGCACATGCGCAGTTTGCGGCACAGCAGAGCGGCACAGCAGAGCGGCGCAGCAGCGGGATCTGTCACGGGCCGTGCACCTCGGACATGGCCGATGACAGATCCGAGTACCAGCTCCCGTAGCTGGTACCATGTGACCTGCTGTGACCAATCACAGCAGGTTACATGATAGTTGTATACAATGGATGGCTTCATTCATGATGCCATCCATTGTATACTAGTGCCTAGCTGTGAATGGTCACAGCAGGTCACATGCACATGTCATGTGATTAGCTGTGACCAAATCACAGCTAAGCACAACAAAAAAAAAAAAGCTGAATGAATCGATTTCATTCAGCTAAATGCTTGCTTATAGCAAAGTAATTCTTTGCTATAAGCAAACTGTGTATAAAAGAAAAAAAAAAAAATACTGATCACTCCCCCAAAGTAGTACAATGTTACTATAGTAACATTGTACTACTTTGGTCATAGTAAAATATGAAAAAAAAATCTTTAAAAAAATGTAATAAAAAATTAAATATAATAAAAAAATAAAAAATATAAAAATATATATATATATATTTTTTTTCATACTGTCACCAGTCAGTGTCCATGTTCACCGCCATGCCAGCTATATGAAGATGCTGTACTGCACCGGTGACAGTATGTAAAAAAAAAAAATAGTGAAAATAATTTTTTTAATTTTTTCATTTTCCGAAAAATTATGACAAAAAAATACAACTTCAAAAAACTCGCCATGCCTCTTATGAAGTACTTCGGACTGTCTACTCTGCAAAAAAGGGGTCATTTGGGGATATCTGTACTATTCTGACATTCTTGGACCTCAAGAAATTAGATTGGCTGTCAGTACTTCAGGATTGATCAATATTCAGATCTATACCATAGTTTGTGAACTCTATAACTTTCCTACAAACTAAATAATACATCCTAATTTGGGTTATTTTCACCAAAGACATGTAGCAGAATACATCTCGGCCTAAATTTATGAAGAACAATTATTTATTTGTAAACTTTTATAACAGAAACAAAGAAAAATGTGTTTTTTTTTTTCAAAATTTTTGGTCTTTTTTTGTTAAATTTAGCAAAAAATAAAAACCCCAGCGGTGATTAAATACCACCAAAAGAAAGCTCTAGTTGTGTGAAGAAAATGATAAAATTTTAGTTTGGGTACAGTGTTGTATGACCGCGCAATTGTCATTCAAAGTGTGAGAGCGCTGAAACCTGAAAAATGGCCTGGGCAGGAAGGTGTAAAATCACACGGTATTGAAATGGTTAAATATGAACATGTTTTGTGCGTGCACCTGTCCACTGGCTCACAAATTGTTTAATGCTTTTAAATGGACACATCAGTAAACAGAAAAAAATAGCATCTACAATACATTTCTATAACGTTGTGTGCTTTTTTTTTTAAAATAAAATACATATTGATCCTGCCAGCGACCTGTTGATGACAACGATCTGCAGGGTCATCTACCCTCTGCAGTGTTGCCACTACTTTTGTGCATGCTCCACTGATATTTTGGGTATGCATACACCCGTTATCAAGCAAACAGTAACAAAGTAGCCTTAGTCCATGTATCAAAAGAAGTAATTGTTGTATGTAGTAAGGAGGATGAAGAATTGAAGCAGCACACATGAGAAACTCAAGTTAAAAGAAAATTTGACAACAAGCAATAGGAATTTTGGTTGGTGAAATCTTCACCAACATTATCTCCAGATAAATATGGACTTACATTCAAATAATAAATTATGAATACATTGAGAAAGCCATTTGTGAGTACAAATAGATTGCTTGATAGATAAATAGTTAAAGGGGGCCAAAACAGGTTTGTACTTTTTTGAAAAGAAAAAAAAAAAGGTGAACCATGCTGTGCAACTTTTTTAAACTCTATGAACAGCTGATTAATGCAATAACATCCAGAAAAGTGTTCCGGGTTTCTACCTTTTCCCTGAAAGTGAAAACAATAACAAAACTGCCTGATAAAAGTTCTGTATAATGCATGGTCACTAGAAAACCATGTAGAAGAATCCTGTGAATATTTACAGAGAGTGCGGTATTTTAATTTACAAGCAAATGATCAACATGATGCAAGGTCACTTAGTGAAACCAATTTCCACCGCTCATAGAGCTTGGTATTTATTGCTCTTTACAAGCACATAAACCTTTTTTTTATAGCATACTGAATCTATATAGTGTGAAATGTCATGTCTGTGCGCACAAACCTTTCAATCAATCAAACGTTTATTGGCTGAGATTATATATACCAGGTGCATGCCTTGATAATTCTCATTGAAATGTCAAAGAAGACAACAT